ATATAGTGGCCTCCCTACTGGCCAGTCACCTTGCTTTTCTTCCTTCTGTTACTTGGACAGATGACTACCAGATTATGCTCACACAAGGAAAAGTTTTGTGGAGGGGCTCAAGTGGTAGAGCACCTGCCTACCAAGCAAGTGTTTAATCTGAGTTCAAACCCTACTACTGAAAAAACATTTTTTTTAAAAAAGCTCTAACTACTTGTAATTGATCAAATTTAACCTAACTTCTTAGTCTTACATTCAAAGTCCTTCATAATTGGGTCTCTATCTGTGTAGCCCTACTTCACTCAGGAATTCTAGAAATATTTACTGAACTCCTATACTTTGTGCCAGCCTGACCTAGTTGTTGGAAACACAGCAACAGATGAAATAAAATTCTCAATTCACACGGAGCTTACATTCTAGAGAGGCGAGTCAGATGACAGGCAGACAATTAAACATAAGTGCCAGACCCAAAGTGCCTGTGGGAAAAGAAAGCCAGGAAGAGGGCAGCTGGCAATGGGAGTGGATGGTCAGAAAGGTTTGCGTGACAAAGGAGCATTTGTCTCGAGCCCTCACAGAAGCAAGGTGTGAGCTCGACAGAACATTCGCAGTCCTTAGGTGGGAGCTTGCTCAGCAGATTGGAGAAAGACTGAAGGATCCAGTGTGGATGAGCAGATTGACCCAAGAGGAGGATGGGAGATGAGACCAGGAGATGGCCATATTTTGTAGGACCTTGAATGCATTTAGGGACTTAAGCTGTCAAGGTGGAGGGCACAGGGAGGTTCTGAGCAGTACAGTGACATGTTCTAGAAAACATTACACTGACAGGCGCGTGGAGAATAGATGGGAGCAGTCAGGAGGCAATTGCAGTAGTCTGGGCAAGCGATTAAGAGAAGAGGAGGAACTGGAGATATTGGGGAACTGTCAGCTGTTATATTTTGAAGGTAATGCTGACAACATTTGCTAGTGGACTGGATGTGAAGTATGAGAGAAAGACTCAAGGATGACTCAGAAGTAGCTGTACAAATGCCCTTATTAGCTGAGCTTTGGAAGAGGATGGGGACAGGAGGAAGTACACAGAGGGGGAAAACTCGGTGTTGGTACAGCTTTGAGGTAACTATGAGGCATCCAAGTCAAGATGTCAAGCTGTCAGCTGCATGTCAGTTTAGCATTCAAGAGTGAGATCCTGGGTAGAAATAAACTCAAAAACTCTGACAGGATGGCGTTCCTGCTCAGAGGTTAGAAGTCCCCATGCAGTGTGGACAGAGGCCAGGGCACTGGGCCTGGGTCACCTAGCGGCTGGAAAGTGAAGAGGCTTAGCAAGGAGACTGAGCAGAGCAGCCCATAGGTGGGAGAAAAGAAAACTGAAGAGCAGGTGGCCTGGAAGCCACATGCAGAAAGGGGTCAACAAAGGAGGAGTAACAGGTTTTCAAACAACTGTGTGCTGTGCGTGTGTGCACTAGTGGCCAGTGTGAAAATAAACAGAGCTGTCACAAGTCTGAGCTTTGCTGACTGTGGAAATGGGTCTTAATTTTACCATCTACTTTTATATATGTTTGAAATTTCTTCATTAAGAAGAGACACAGAGAAAGAGAGAGAGAGAGAGATTGGTTATGAGTGGGTTTTACCCTACTTCAGTGGGTTCAGGGAAGGATATGGAATGAGTAAATGCTATCAACAACCTCTAGGAGTTTTTGAAGGAAACATGAACAGAGAAATGTGTCAGCAGCTAGAGAGAGATCAAGAGGCTAAGGGTGGTTGCTTGATTTGCTTGTTCAAGATGGCACACTTATAGCTAACTTTCGAGGCACACCCTTCACACAGCCCTGGATGAAGCCTCCATCCACCCTTCCCTATGTTCACTATCCACAGCTCCCCTGCTCCATCCATCCCACCTATCCACCAAGGCGTAGGTCAGCTCCCAACTCTTCCATCATTCCATTGCACCACATGCTTCCAGGTGGTCAGTTTCCACCTACCTGCACTATTTTCAAGAACATTTTGATAGGAGAGTTTTGGCTGCATTGTCATTCAGTTGGGGTCTCTGCAACCCTCATCTTCATGTGTATCAGAGCACACTATGTGTTTATACTGAACATCAAAGCCACAATGCTCCCCTGACAGCTTGCAGAAGGGAAGCAGAACTTCTACAGAAACTGTACAGTTTCATATTCCTTTAGATCCTGGAAGAGAGCATTCAATAGTAGCAACAAGAATAGTATCTTTCACTTGCTTTTCCCACTTGAAACGACAAGGCTAGACGCACTGATTCATAAGGCAGGACTAGGGGCTAGAATTTATTTTTAAAACTAACTGAAAATCCTCAGCAGTTTATCAAAGGATTTCTCTTTGAAATCATCAGAAAATGGGTGGGAATGGGTAGGTTGAGCCTTCTAGTTTAAGATATAGCAAGTTCAATGAAATTGCACTAAAAAATAAGACATGGTTAAAAACACGTTCTCTCATACCTCCCTGTGAGTGTATCACAGTGAGATCGGGGCACTGATCTTAAGCTCCTTCCTGTGGAGGAGTTTCCCTCAGAAACACTCATTTTCAATGCAAAAGGCAAGATAGTTCTGATTAGGATTAAATACAAGAAGCATCAGTTGGCCATGAAAAAATTCTTAATAAGAGATGCGATCCGTGCTTCTATAATGGTGAGAAGGCTAGCTAGAGTGACCAAAAAAAAAAAAAAAAAAAGAAAAAATTAGGTTCATATTTGGCTAACCTGAGGAGCATCAACAGCACAAAGGGCACTTGAATTTCCTGCCCTGCCTCACACCACTGGATCACAGAGGGCCAAACCTAGACACCTAGACTGACAAGTTTGGGACCACATCATCAGTGCTTTTCTTTCACATTGCCAGGGAGCTTTTTGGTTTTTTTTTTAGGTACTGTGATTTGAACTCAGGGCCTACACTTGCTAGGCAGGCATTCTATCACTTAAGCCATGCGGGAACTCTGAATGGAAGGAATAACAGGAGCACACTGGAAGTTCTGAAAGATAGCTTAGGGCTGTGGTCTAAAGGAAAAAAAGACTGTGTGCCAAGTTCAAAATTGGAAAATGCCTGACTTTCTGTTGGCCTGATTTGTTCCCAAAGCTAAATTTGTTTTTTTTCTGTGTTATGTTTGGCCATGCTTATTTCTTCCTTTCAAAATAGCTGAGAGTTTCCTTCTATTTGGGCATTTTCAACATAAAATTCCATTTTTCATCTATGTACCTTTTGTCACAAGGGCACAGTAGAATCAAACCCTATCATCAACCACTGTGAGGTCATTTATATTTGTCAACTCTATTTATGAAGATGACCTTGAGTTATGGAACCAAGAACTGCTGCTGCTTTGAGAGTTAACATGTCCTCCTTCCCAGTGGTAAGCCCCTGGGTGGAATTTCCCCTGTGCAACTGTGGTGTTCTGCTGTGTGGTTCCCAACATGGGTCCATGAAAAAGATTTCATCAGTTTGGGGGGAAATGCAGAAGCAGAGGACAGTATGGTAAGTATGTAAGAAATGCGTTCTCTGAAAAGGCCCACACTTTCTTCTTAAGTACATCCTATTTCCTTTTCAAATGTTAAGATTCTCTATTAAACGAGGGCCATATAATTTTTTTTAAAATGCTTTTCCATGGAAAAATACCTGGCAACCCCAGATCCAAGGATGTTCTGAAATGCGAAGTCTAGAAGACAGGCTTTCCCCACTTGCAGTCTCTTCCGCCACCATCTTGTTATCATGCACAGTGGTCACCTGGTGTGAAGTCAAGTGAGGAGAGGGACACATCCGGACTAGACAACCTGCCAAAGTGTCAGAGTTGACAGCTAACTATGCCATAATCAAGAAAATGCTGGCCCACTGTGTAATTTAATCACTTTCTGCTTCCTAATTACAGCCTTGGAATTTAGCATTTTAATGAGAATATTAAACTTCCCTGCATGGTGCCTTAGTCACTCACATTTAAATATTGTTAAATAAATAGTGTTAAATAAAATGTGCTTTTTACCCCTGCTATCAACTTCATCTCCTTGTATTCGAAAGAAGAGTGTGAGGCTTGTATCACTGTCAACTGCAAAGAAACCACTTAAAAGAGTTTGAGACTGCTGGTGGAAGTAGTCCCCACACAAGGACTGTAAGGAAGCATTTGGGAGACTACTGTGCAGAAAGTTAGGCGCTGGAGTACAAAGACCTTTTTTAGGTCTCAGCTCACAACTTAGTATCATGTCTGGCATCCAAAAAATGTGAGCAATGGTTCCTTATCTGCAGAGAGCAATGTGTTTAAGACAGTGTTAGTTCTTGGCGAATATTCAATCATGGTATTCATCTATTGTGAATACAGGAGATTTACAAAGTACTGGTTTTTTACACAACAATTGTGGTTGGACCTGGAAAGGTTCTTTGTGATCATCTGGCCATTTTACAGATGGTAAAAGGGGTTGGGCGGAAGGGTTCTAGAGAACATAGAACTAGTAAGAGGCAGAGCCTGGACTTGTTTCTGGGTCTACCTAGCCCAGAGCTTTCTACTCAATGAGTTTTTTCCATTTGGGAGTATTTGGTTAACCTAAGGGTTTTTTTTGGCCAGGAAGAACTATATACATTGTTCAAAATGGTGGTATCATTTAAAGATGGAAAATTTCATATACAAAAACCCATGGTCAATATAAAAAGTTGGTAGTTCACTGTATTTCATCACTTTAAGATATTTACTGCTGGGTATTCTAAAAGAATCAAATACATTAAAAAATAATGTAACAGAATACTCACATAGCAGACCGCTAGATGAGCAAAAATATAATCATATAGAAGATGTGCCTTCTCCCTAAACCTCCTATCAATCAAACTGCTCAGATTCTCAGGAAGAAAAACTAAACATTTTCCAAGTCTTTACTTTCAAGAGTGCAACAAAAACAGATTCCATTGGGCGATTCCACTGGGTGTGGCTGACAGCAGCAAGATCTGATGCCAGCAACAGACAGACACAAAAACATCATCAGTGAAACAAAATCGTTCTTTTAAATCAGTAGCTTTATTACAATATCCACTGACAGACAATTAGAAGGAATGTTCTGACATTTTCTGAGCATTTCACAGAAAGCAAATGTAACCATCCAGGCAGTAGAGTCACCCACACCTTTTTCCAAACAAAAAGCAAAAGCTTTTACATGTGATAACTCAGGAGAGCAAACTTTTCTTATTTTTGTCTAAAGAACTATTGTCTGAGAAAACAGCTATTGTGAAGCAAGCAGAGAAGGAAGGGTTTCCTTCATGATGTCCAGATCCTGCCTCCGGGTACCCCATGACCATCTATATGACTTATTATGGTACTACAGGAGGCATGTTTTGGAGTACTAAATGGGATCTACTTATAAGCCAACAATTATACTTCAGTGTAATCAAAAGAGAAGGCGAACTTAAGAAAATTAAGTCCTGCTAAAATGTACAAGGACAAGGAGAAAATATCTGGGTGTATTAAAACGAGATGCTCTTTTCACATATCTCATTCAAAAGGTTATGATCACCATAAACATTTTAACTCTATTAAAGATCATTGGCAAAAGCTCACTTTCATGTCTGCAAAAAGGCCCTGCCTTGCACAGGCTTGGAAGCAGCAATACACCTCTTGAGGAGTTGCTGATCCTGGGAAACAGGCATCAAACTGTTTGGAGTTGCATAGGCATTTTTTAAGATCTACTTTGTAAAAGACACATGGAATCGTGAGAATTTCCCTTTTTAACAGTCATTTTGGCAGTCAGGTGTTTGAAACCCTTTAGTGCCCAAACACACAAAAGCATTCTAGGAAAAAACCATTAAAATGGCATTTTGGATAAATTCACTACATATTATATAACTTGGGAACAACAAAGGAAAGGGCCTAAGCATGATTCTAGTATTGCTTATAGAAAAGCACTGCAGGAGAAAGCTTTGTTTAAAAACATTAAAACTCAGGTGCATATAAATACATTTTTGGTTAATCTGTGCTATGTCATATAGAAATCCTATCGGATATTCAGTCTTCTAGGTAACTCAATTTGGGTTTTCATGTCTGACTCTATCAGTAGAAGAATATACACTGTTGCATATACATATATAAAATTCTGATCATGAAAATTTGTTTAAATACATATACTTAAAACCTGTACCTCTAAAAATAAATACATTAGCCTCTACTCAGCTAATTCTCAGAGTTCCTTCACACACCAATCAGAACACAGTTTCTCAACAATGGCAGATGACCAATTAGCTGCCCTTTCAACCCACTGTCTATCAGTAAACATTGTGAAATTCAGATGTATCACTCAAAAAAATCCCTAAAAATAGTACAGAGATAGAATTCTGGCTTTGAAAGTAAATGTCCTGATTTCCTCGACATTTAACTCTTACAAGCGTCTCTGCTTGCCTTTGCATTTGTCTAGCAGTGGGAGAGCTTTTTCCAGTGCCAACACTCTGTTCCATTGACATTACCTTCTAATCAAAGGTGTGGGCTGGCATTTCCTTTATTGTTTTGTTAGAGGGAACTAATACAACATTGTTTGTAGTTGATATCTCTCCCATAGATCACAGTGAGTTGTGTGTTTCAAAGTAATTTACAATGTGCTGATACCACTGAGGTAAAGCAGAAGTAGCCCTGACATTTAAAAGAAGAAAAGTCTCCCAGGAGAACACATGAAGGACTGGTGGTGAATATCTAAGTTCCATGCAGTAACTTAAAGCCACTGCCAGAATGGACACACTGGACATCTGATATTATAGTTCAAACATTGGAAACAGATAAAATCCTCAAAATACTTTAAGAAACGATGCAATTCACAAAAATGGAGCTTTACTTTTTTTTACTTTTACATTTCAAAAAAAAATTTTTTTAATGATATAAACCAGACCAAGTATTGTGTTTAAAATAGCACAACACTTAACAACCTTGTCATTGTTTTTGAATACAGGAATTTTAGAAATGCAAGAAATCCATGATAAATGAGAGTGAGACTTTCTAATGCCAATTCCCTAAATTTTTAAAAGGAACTTTGCCATACTTGAAAATCCAGCTTCTAAAAAATACAATGTTTTCTGTGCTCACAGTTCCAGATTGCTAACTTCATAAATTAAATGCAAAGGTTATCCATATATAAACAAGGCCTCTTTTACATTGATTTCAATCTCATTTAAACCTTTGGATATTTCAAGCTTCAGATTCCACAAGGTAAGGCTGAGTTGATCAGATATAAATAAAATGTTTAAGTCCACGACGTACTGTAGCACTGAGGAAATGAATGCATCAAATATGTACAGGCTGGCTACAATATCTTCCTTTTTCAGGAAAAAAAAATCCAAATGTGTATCAGTATCAAACCACACTTGTTTCTGAATTTCCTGGCTGAAAAAACAGGACAACAGCATTTTTCCTCACTTTTCCTCACTCATTTTTCCTCTTGAGCCAGAGCTTAGGTTGAAAGGTGTGGCCTTTTGGGGGGCGGTGGTGGCATAAGCTCTGTGTCAGGGTCCAGGTGATGCTTTCGCTTCTGTCCTTGGGAAGCTGTGGCACATCTGTCGATGAACTCAAACAGCATCTCCTTGGTGACAGGGTTTGAGATACTGTTGCATACAGCTGTGGAAACAGGGACCATGTCACGTGAGGCTTAATCAGGGCAAATGACTCACCACAGGCTATGAGAAAGGTTTCCATCTCAGTGTGCTAACTACCACCATTTTACAATTGTGTAACATACTTCAGCTGAAACCAATCTCCTCCCTCCTGCACTGGCTACTCTGTAGTAGAGTATTAATTTTAAATCAAAACTTTAACTACTTGGGTTATAAGCATGTACCCATTTTGGTTTTCTATTCCTCTAAAGCAGTTTTTCTGGGATTTTAATCTACTACAATGCATTGCACAGTAGTTCATATTCAAGTAGAACTTTTACAAAAAATGCTACATTATGGCCCTTAAGTCTTTCTGTCAGAAAAAAAGTGCACTCTGTGAAACAAAATAGTACTAGCCATTGTTCCTATGAGATTGGGAGCTTTTGTTGTAGCTAGCAGACCTTACTATTTTATTTCAGTAATTTATTTGAAGTAAGATATCTAATAACATTACCTATCAAGCAAAGTATCTTTTCCTGAGTGATCAGAATTTAGAACCAATTCTTTTTATTTACCTATCTGGTTTTTGGGGAAAAACACACTGGCTTAAACATTCCTATTTTTGAAATTAACTCATTTTGTCTGAGCATGGATGTTACTTCCAACAAGACCCCCTAAATGTACAATAGTAACTTTTAAACTGAAAATCTCGAATTAGCCATTTCTATATTTTCTCCTAAACTTATCATATTATCACCATTATCATGGACTCAACACGCTGAAAGTACACTTCTATTAACCTTTAATCTTGGTTTTACTTTTTTTAAGCTCCACTAAAAATGCAACAACTGCTTCTACTAGTAGTGTACTTTATAAACTTCAATTAATTTGTTGTTCCTCATGAGAAAACTTAACTGATCTGAATTTCCAAAGTATTCAGATTGTACCCAAAGACTACTCTGAAGGATAGCATAACAATTTTTGTATTTTTAAAAATGGTTTTCACTTACTTTGTTCTCCATTGTTTGTAAAGCTATTTTAGGAGCTGGAAATTACATTTTCCCCTGCTAACTTTTTTTTTAACCATCTGGCAAACAATGGTTTTTATAGTTTTGAACAGATCTGAAACTGTCATGGCTTTTGTTGTTGTTCAATAAATGCAACTTATAGACAGTCTAGTATCTCACCCTTTACACTTCTATTTTAGGCATGTGGCACCAGCCCATCAATTTGGGAGGAACCTAAAACTGACTAGAGCCAAAACGGGACCAGACTCAAAAGGACATCATTCCTTGTCAAGCCAGGGTAGACTCCATATGACTCTGTCCCATCAAGCAGAACAGCACAAGACAGCACATTTGGGCCTTAGTGCCTTAACATTTTGTACTGAATGTAGTAACCACTGGCAGGCTGTCATACTTACCCAGGGCTGTGTTGTAGGCATTAGGAAAACTTTTGTCTGTCCTCTGTCTCATGAACACCCAGCTGTTGTTCTCAAATTTGCATTCTATAATTTTGTTGTCATACTGTTTTAGCTCTTTTGTCACCTGTTTTAATAGAGAATTGAGGAAAATATTTAAATCATTTGAAAGGCTTTTGCTTCCATATGTGACAGGCACATTAGGAAATGCCAAAACCACCTCAGTAACTCTTCCAGCAGTGCTCTTTGTCATTTGAAGTGTCTAATCATCCCTAAAGATACGGTGTGCACTCTCTTGCATACAAGCTCATTTATCCCACATTTTATAAATAGTCATGAAAACGGCTGTCAATATATAGCAATTAAAAGAAGCTAAGCAAAAAGCAGTCACTTCTAGGCCAAATGCAAATATGTTTCCATGGGGACCAATGTCTTCAATATTGTTTGTGTCACTCTGGCTTTCAGAAGTTGAGTGAACTGCTTAGGTTTCATCAACTTTCAAAAAGGTCTCACTATCTAAATTCTTACATCAAAACCTAAGACATTCCCATTATTACAGTCAAAAACAGGTGCACATAAAAAAATCAACAGTGCAAATTCAGTCAATGTGTCTCCTAAATATTTTGCTTTGCAAGCAGTGATAATTAACCAAGAACCTAATCTTTAGGCTACTTACCTTTTCCATCTCCCAAACTAGAATGAATTCAGAGATGAAGTGACTTGGACTTCAGTTGGTGGGTTTCTTGGTTTCTTTACTTCAGATGACTGAATACGGATTACAACTTACTTTATCAAAGTTACCAAGTAACCATGGTAACCATAGAACCTTTTAAAAGATATTCCATCAGGCCGTTGAAGATGGTTTTCATAAAAAGGAACCTAAGCTTATCCTTGCAGTTTTTAAATCAACTGCCAGTCATGGTAATATTTTAATTCTGTCCTCATCCTTCACAGCTAACAACTTTTCCTCACAATATGGTAGATTGCAATCATTTAACTTCATTAGCATTATTTGAAATGCTCTCATTTTTCTACCCACATATTCACCACCACCTAGGAATATGAAAGGATGCAAATTTTAAAAGATGCTTTCAGTTCATAGATTAGGCAATACAAGCCTTCATAAAAACTTTCAAATTGTATTCCTTTTCCCTTAATGAGTATTACACATTTGATTGGACTATTTGAATTTTCAACAAATCTAACAGGTTCAATAATATAGTCAGTGGTTCTCCATCTAGACTTCCTCCCCCAAAAATGATGTTTCACTTAGCAAACATGCTGAATTTATTCTCAAACACTCATCATTCTAGTTTCAACTCTCTTTCTTTGCTTACTAGGGACACACCTTCTTTTACTTTGGGATTCCTTATTTATACCCACATTTTTGGGAACTCATTCAATTAGGTAACTACTTTTGGGTTATATTGAATGGAGGATCTAACAAATTTCTAAACCTTTCAAAGTCACTATTTTCTAAGTTCTAAAATGGGCAAAGGGTTTCTAATTTCCTGAGTCACTAGAAGAATAATAAATCAAAGTACCTGGCACACAGCAGACAATCAGTACAATTGGTGGTTTAATACAAAACCAAGCAATGAAGTCTAACTCTGTACCCACTAAGTATTAACTGTCCCCTCATCTAGACCTTAGTAGCCACCTAGAAGAATCACATAGTATTTGTCCTTTTGTGACTGGTTTATTTTGCTTAGAATAATGTTTTCAAGGTTCATTCATGTTGTAGCATGTGATGAGAGTTCCTTTTTTTTTAAGGTTTAAGGGTTTGAACTCAGGGCCTCATACTTGCTAGGCACACATTCTATCACTTGAGCCACTCCCACAGCCCTAGAAGCCCTTTTATAAGGTTGCATAATATTCGATCATATGTATACATCACATTTCCTTTATCCCTTCATTTGCTGATGGGCACCTACCTTTGTCTATTTTTTTTAAATATTTTGTTGCTGCTTATTGCTGAGTTGTCAAAGTTTGTTATATATTTTGGGTGTTAGTACCTTATCAGACATATAGATTTGCACTAATTTTCTTCCATTTTGAAGGCTCCCTTTTTCCTCTGTTGATTATTTCTTTGATGAGCAGTAGCTTTCAAGTTTGACACAGTCCCTTTCATCTTTTTAATCCTGTTGCCTAAGATTTTTGTGTCATATCCAATAAATCATTGCCAAATTTTATGTTCTGATGTTCTCCCCTGTTTTCCTTCCCCCTACGAGTTTAAAAGCTTAAGGTTTTATGTTTCAGTTTTTAAATCTAGTTTTGAGTTAGTTTTGTTTATGACATAAAATCAGGGTTCAATTTCATTCTTTTGTTTGTGGATATCCAGTTTTTTGAGCATCATTTATTGACGACACTATTCTCTCAGAATACTTTATTTATTCTCAAATATTCACCATCCTAGTCTCAACTCTTCTGCTTAGCTTACTGGAACACACCCCTTCTTTTACTTTTTATCTTTTTTTTTTTTTTGCAGCAGGGTTTTTGCTAGGCAGGGGCTCTACCACTTACCATGCCTCCAGTCTTAATTCATTATTTATGTCCTAGTACTGGGCAACTCATTCAATTAGGTAACCAATTCTGGGTTATATCATATGGAAGGTCTAATCTTGGTAAGTCCATGAAAAAATCATTTGGCAATATATACAAGGACTTGTTTCTGGGCTATTTTGTTCCATTGGTTTATCGGGGGGGGGGGTGTGGTGTGTGTGTGTGTGTGTTTTAAAGACAAGTTCTCACTATGGAACCCAGGGTGGCCTCAAATTTTCCATCCTCTTGCTTCAACCTCCTAAATGCTGAGATTATAGGCATGTGCCACAACATCCAGCTATGTTTTTATATAACACTTTATTAGTTTCTATAATCTACTTGTCTTTAAGCCAGCAGTTAAGTATGCTATCTAAGTTACTGTTGCTTTGTAGCATGCTTTGAAATCAGAAAGTATGGGCCTTCAACTTTGTTCTTTCTCAACTATTTGGGGTCCCTTGAAGTTCCATATGAATTCTAGGAGTTTTTCTGTTTCTGAAAAAAATGTCATTGGCATTTTGAGAGAGAGAGCATTGGATCTGTAGATTGCTTTAGCTAGTATCAATATTTTAACAACATTAAGTCTTTCCTAGATCATAATCTCTAAACCTATGCATAGATTTATACCTAGGAGTGAAACCAGATTATGGTACAGAATGAGAATTTCTATCAAGTTAATCCATTCACTTTGATTTAGACCACTGATATACACTCACACACACACAAATCTTGATGATCTCCCCCTTGTCATAGTGCCTAGTCTAAAGTAGACACTCAGGGATGATTTCACTAAATTCAAGAGAATCATGAGCTTCAGCTATCAGCCAATTAGTACTTCTTGATAGCTGATTAAGTAAAGGAAGCCAGGGCTAGGGATGCTGTTCAATGGTAGATGGCTTGCCTAGCAGGCATGTAAGTCCTTCAGTTTGATCCCCAGCATATCTCTCTTCTCTTCTTCTTTTCTCCCCGCCCAGCTCCCCCTACATACACACACACACACACACACACAAAAGGGGTTTTAAGGTTATTAAATATGTTCCACCTGCCATAAGAATGAACATAAAGCACTCTCTACTACTAAGTGCCTAAGGTAGAAGTGATGTCACCACAAATCTTTGCTGTCATGGTAGTAAAGGCAGCACTTTCCCCTTTGACAATGAAAAACAAGTAGAGGAAAGGGAAAGAAAAACAAGTAGAGGAAAGGGAATACAAACACATATTTCTTCATACACACAACCCTTCTTTTTACTGATTTGGCAATATCAATAATTTTTAAACTGTAAGATTCATTTTTACATAATTATTAATAACATCCATTCACCTGCAAGGGGCGCTGTTTCTTGCGCTCCCCACCTTGCTGGAGCGAGGTTTTCTCTCTCGCTCCTTGGTTATTACTGGACCTAGCTGGGCTTAAACTGAGGGTGACTGGAGATTTTAGAGAAGATATAGGATAGACAAACAAAGAAATCTGGGGTCAGGTGTGTTGTACGCTCAGCTGGAGATGCACAACCAGCATGCTTCTTTTTCTGTATCTTGATTCTTTTAAAGAACTGCAAGGAGCAAGGCTTTAAACTGCTTAATTACACTGTCCCATGTTTTCTCTTAGCTTATCTTTAGCTTAATTTCTCTTAAAGTCTTTTGCCCCCAGGTTTGCACTGTTTCATCTCTCTTTAGCTCTCTTAAAACCTTGGTGCTCAAACTTGCAAATAGCAAACAGCAGCACCTACAACTTGCATATGAATAACTCTTAAAGTTAGACTTGCACTGTGCACTGTCTCATGTTCTCTTTGGCTTTTCTTTAACTTTAGCTTTCCTAAGGCCTATGTATGAAGTTCTTTCTCACCTTTGCTTTCTGAAGCCTACCTATGGTAAAGTTCTCAGTGCAGACTTTCTACAAACCCCTCGTTAGCATTTTCCCTTCAATAATTCTTTTCCCTTCCAAAAGTTTCCCACACCAAAAAGCCCGAAGTAAAGCCCCAAAAGGCAAAAGCAAAAAGCAAAAGCCTGTCTTCCTCCTTTAGGGGTCTTTAAAGCAGCAAACAGGGTGGAGCCACGGGGAGGGGCGTGACATTGTAACAGGAGAAACCGAGTTCCTGTTTCTCTGAACACAAAGCTTAAGAGACACAGCTGTTCTGCCTTTCCCTGTTTCGTGGCCCAGGGCTTTGTCTATCTCTGCCTACAGGTAAAAGCAATTAACTGGAACTCACCTTGCTTGTGTCCAGTTCTCACAGGCTTTAATCTGCTCCCCACATTTACCATTTAGTATATGTCATGCATTGTAAGTTAGTGAGCTATATACAATCTTACTTAATTTGAAACACAATATTAAGAGGTAGGAATTATATTAGTCCCCTTTACAGGCATGAAGACTAAATCTTAGAGTAGTTAAAATACCTCAACCAAAGTCATGGACCTACAAAGTCAAAGCAAAGTTTCAAATACAGGCCTTCCTATCCAATGCCACCAATGTCATATCATATCCCACCAGTTATCCCAGAATGTGGTACTCTGTGGAAATTAAATGTAGAATGAAACAAACAAGGTCTTTTTCCTGATCAAATTTTGGCCAAAATTGGGTACAGAGACCTCTGCCCATGTAAATATAAAAAGTCAGTTATATGAAACACAAAGACAGCAGACCTCCCTCAGCAGAGCACTGGCTGTCCCTGCAGGAGGCAGTATGTCTGGGCTTCTGTTCCTAAGTAGTATTAAGATGGTACCAAGTTTAACATGGTTCCAAAAATGGTGGAGACACGAAAGCAAGGCTCCAAAGTACAAAATTATAAAACCATTTTAAAAACAAACTTTTCTCATCTATTCTAAATTTAAGTTTCAAACAGACTATTCCAAAACAGAAGTAAATGGTTTTTTTTTTTTTTTTTAGTTAAACACAAAGTTATACACTTAATTACTAAGATGGGCATTTGGGTATTAGCTGACACAGAATTAACCCAAAGACAGCTTTGCAGGATAACATTTTATAGTCAAGTATTTACCTTCTTTGGATTTACTATGATGGGCATGGTTCTTTATGCCAACATGGCTTTCACTTTTTCTTCTCCAACGGAACTTTTGCCGAGTTCAATGATCTATGCTGCTAAATCATATGGACCATGTCTAACCTCTCAGCACTGTCTTGTACAGTTAACAACTGCCTCTTCAACACATTTCACTTTCCTATGCTTCTAGGATACACCATCTGGCTTTCCTCCTCTATCCCTTGCTAC